CCCCCGAATTTTCCCAAAATCCCCGGATTTTGCCCCGAAACCCCGCAGGTGTTCCAGGTGAACGTGACGGCGACGGCGATGCTCGTCCGGCTGGTGGCGCCACACATGGAGCGGCGCGGGTGACTGGTTTATACTGGTTTATACTGGTTTATACTGGTTTATACTGGTTTATACTGGTTTATACTGGGAGGGCATTTTGGGGCAAATTTGGGGAATTTTGGGGCAATTTTCGGGAATTTCGGGGCACTAAAAGGGCCAAAAATGGGGAAAAATCGGCTTTAAAGTCGGGTTTTGGTACTGGTTTGTACTGGTTTGTACTGGTTTATACTGGTTTATACTGGGAAGGGATTTTGGGGAAATTTTGGGGATTTTTGGGGCAATTTTCGGGGATTTTGGGGCACTAAAAGGGCCAAAAATGGGGAAAAATCGGCTTTAAAGTCGGATTTTGGTATTGGTTTGGTACTGGTTTATACTGGTTTGTACTGGTTTATACTGGTTTATACTGGTTTATACTGGTTTGTACTGGGAGGGGATTTTGGGGCCATTTTGGGGCAATTTTCGGGGATTTTGGGGCACTAAAAGGGCCAAAAATGGGGAAAAATCGGCTTTAAAGTCGGATTTTGTTACTGGTTTGTACTGGTTTATACTGGTTTATACTGGTTTATACTGATTTGAACCGAGAGGAACTTTCAGCGGGACTGGTTTGAACTGGTTTTTACCGGTTTTTACCGGTTTTTACTGTTTTTTACTGGTTTTTACTGGTTTATACTGGGAGCTCCCATTGCCAGCCCAGGAGAAGTGGGCGTGGCTTATCCTTAAGGGGGCGTGGATTGGCCCAATGGGGGCGTGGCTTGGGTTCAATGGGGGCGTGGCTTGGGCCAATGGGGGCGTGGCTTGGGTCGTTGATTGACAGCTCCGGCTAAGCCACGCCCCCCTCGCGCCGCAGGGGCGGGGCCATCGTGGTGATGTCATCGATCGCCGGCTACCAGCCAATGGCGGTGAGTCTTACTGGTTTGGACTGGTTTATACTGGTTTATACTGGTTTGGACTGGGGGGGGCTGGTTTATACTGGTTTGTACTGGTTTACACTGGTTTGTACTGGTTTATACTGGGAGGAACTGGTTTTACTGGTTTATACTGGTTTATACTGGTTTGGTCTGGTTTATACTGGTTTGTACCGGTTGTACTGGTTTATACTGGGAGGGGATTTGGGGTTACTGGTTTGTACTGGTTTATACTGGGACGAACTGGTTTCTACTGGTTTGGACTGGGAGGGGCTGGGTTATACTGGTTTATACTGGTCTGTACTGGTTTTACTGGGAGGAGATTTGGCCTTACTGGTTTGTACTGGTTTGGGGTTTTTCCCGTACTGGTTTGGGGTTTTTTCTTACTGGTTTATACTGGTTTGTACTGGGATGGGCTCAGGGGTTACTGGTTTATACTGGGATGAACTGGGAGGGGATTTGGGGTCACTGGGATGAACTGGGAACACGTTTTCCCTTACTGGTTTGTACTGGTTTGGAGTTTTACCTTACTGGTTTCGTGTTTTCCCTTACTGGTTTGGGGCTTCTTCTTACTGGTTTATACTGGTTTGTACTGGGATGAACTGGGAGGGGATTTGGGGTCACTGGGAGGAGATTTGGACCCACTGGGATGAACTGGGAACGCGTTAATCCTTACTGGTTTTGTGTTTTCCCTTACTGGTTTGTACTGGTTTGGGGTTTTTCCTTACTGGTTTGGGTTTTTTTCTTACTGGTTTATACTGGGATGAACTGGGATGAACTGGGAGGGGATTTGGGGTCACTGGGAGGGGATTTGGGGTCACTGGGATGAACTG